AAGATATTTTATTGTAAGTTGTGTGGCGTGAAAGTTACGGCAGAAAAGCGATTTACTGTGCAGCAGCATTGTAAAACTTTTAAACATGGTAAATGTTTAAGCAGATTATCTACAAAGGATAGCAGACAAAGTTTGTTGTTTAAAAACAGTTCCACTACTTCTTCTTCTTCTTCTTCTTCTCCTTCACCTTCTTCAACGAACAATGGGTCGGAATTTTCGAAGGATTTGTGTCAGTGGATGGTATCTTCGAATATTCCATTAGAGAAATTGCATAATCAGCACTTCAGACAATTTTTGGAGACATACACTAGTCATCCTATCCCAAGTGAATCGACGTTAAGAAAGAATTATCTCTCTACATGTTATGAAGATATGTTAAATAAGATTCGAACATCTGTTGCTGACAACAAGATATGGGTTTCCTTGGACGAGACTTCTGACGTAGATGGGCGGTATATTGCGAATGTTATAGTTGGGACCCTGAAACAAGATCAACCTGGAGAGAGATTTCTTCTTGACTGTGAAGTTCTCGAAAGAGCAAATCATTCGACTATAGCTGTCCTATTTGATAATTCCATGAAGTTGTTGTGGCCAAATGGAATACAGCGAAATAATGTCCTTCTCCTAGTAACAGATGCCGCTCCATACATGAAGAAGGCTGCCAAAGGACTTCGAATCCTCTACCCGAAAATGGTCCATATTACTTGCCTCGCTCATGCATTGCATAGAGTGGCTGAAGAAGTTCGAGGACATTTTCCTGATGTAGATAGGCTAGTTTCAAACGGAAAGAAAATATCCATCAAGGCCCCTCTTCGAGTGCAGAAATTTAAACAAGGAGCTAATCTACTGCCACTTCCTCCACAATCTGTCGTCACACGGTGGGGTACATGGTTGGATGCTGTGGCATATTATTGTGAAAATTACACAGCCATTGAGAAAATGTTTAATGGCTTTGACAGCAGTGAGTCAACATCAATTAAAGCTGTCAAGGACTTATTCTCTACCACTCTAGCACAAAATCTGGCATACATAAAGTCAAACTTCTGTTCAATTTCAGGTGCAATAACTAGCCTGGAATTTGTAGGGACTGAACTCTGTGACGCGTTGGACACTGTAAAGAGCATTGAGAATGAACTAAACCGAACTCGTGGTGAAATAAGTGACAGGATTAAAACCAAAATAGAAAGTGTTCTTCATCGGAATGCTGGTTATTCAACATTATGCAAGATTGCAGATATACTTTCCGGTAAACTAGCAACATTCGAAGATGATACAGAACTGTCACCAAACGACTTAACATTCTTCAAATATGCTCCTGTCACATCATGTGATGTGGAACGAAGTTTTTCCAAATACAAAACTATCCTTAGTGATAATCGGCGATCTTTCAAATTTGAAAATTTGAAAATGCATGTAGTTATAAATTGCAATTGTAACAGTGAAAATTGAGACGTGAATAACTTGTGTTCTTTTAAATGGTGGTTTTAGATAACAGAGTTAAGTTAGTGTGCACTGTGCATCAGTGTTTGTCTAAAATATGGACGCAAATATCAGTATTAAAAAGAAAGCAATGAATGGTTTAATCCAGTACGAAATGTCGAAATTCCATCAGTTTTCTTTCCTTCAGAGACATAATAGGGCTAATTTGGTAAGTAGGACCTACTATCATATATTCATCATCTTTATTCTTAAACTGTAGTAAAAGTTGTAATTAAAATTGTGAAATTTTATATCCCATTTAATATTTAAGGTCATATTTTACACTTTTTGGGTCATATTTGACATAATTTTGGGTCATAAGTGCATGCATATATTTATAGTTTTTAGGTCATAAAAATCCGGGCCATATTAATAACTCATTTGATGTTGAAACCTGCTTATTGCTAACCTCACTAGTCATAATTTTTATTTCTTGTTGGGGGATACCCATAAAAAATCCTCGCTTCAATTTGTAGGTGTAATCTATGAGGTCTTCTTGATTGAACCAGTTCTTGCACCATTTTACTTTGCCATCCCTCACTTCTCCTACATAATTCACCATTTTCTTACTTATTTGCCTGTCATTTTCTTCCCTAGGTTTATTTTTTCTTTCATCGATCCTTGTGTTTCCTTTGTCGGTGGAATATTAGTCCCTTCCCCTTCCGGCCCTTGTTCATCCGTCCCTTTAAATGTAATTGGGTCAGACTTCTTCTCCCTCAACATATCCAAAATTTCTTTTACTATTCTTTATGCTACCTTCTCCTTACCTCTTGATTTCATATGTAACCCATGTTTAATGAACATGTCCCTTTCGGATTCCACCTCAATAACACGTGAATTTCCAAAAATTTTCATAAATTTTTTTGACTTTCTGCTAAATGATTTCACCTCATCATTGATTCTTGCTCCAAGTAATGTCTGTGTGGTAGGTTATTAACTAAAACATTTGTGTGAGTATTCTTGTTTACAAAGTCCTTATTTGGATCAGTCCCTCATCAGTCTCATTCCTGCTAACATTCTTAGTACCACCCCACGATGTGGAAGACTGACGTCTTTTAACTACACCTGCACCACCATCGCATTGCTTCCTCTATGTAATACGATCCTCTCCTAACTTTCAACCTCTATGTAGACAGAAAGAGAGAGAATAAATATGGCTACTGTGTGCATAGTGCTGTTTTACTTCCTCCCACATTTTGGTGCCGAAACCCGGGACAAGCGAGCCATTACGCGACGTGATAGTGTAAGAGTGTATTGTTATTATTGTGAAGGTCGCGGAGTGTATTTTCAAGTGAAGAAACTGGGTGAGTAGAGGTTTGGACAGAGAAACACAAAGACGCCAGGATCTTCAGACACGAGGCAAGTGACTCCATAACTCCATAACGTAGAAACGCATTGCAGAACCCGTCACGTACCTGGTGGAGGAAAGCGGAACTACCAGAAAATCGGTCGGTAACACAACTTACGAGTATCCCGCCATCTTTGAGAGGGAGGCAGAACTAACAGAACTACATACACCACTTCAAGCGACTATCACGAGGAGGGAGAATTAGTGTACGATTTTCATAATGGCCGACGTAGAACAACTACATAACCTTAAGAGGAAACGTACAAGGGAGCGAAATAACATTACGCGTTTCGCCAATTCACTTAACTCGTTCACAGGAGAGACTTCCCTTGAAGATTATGAACATTACAAGGGACGCGTCGAGGAAGCGTTAGAACGTATGTTGCGACTGGACGACTCCATCCACGACCTCATTGCGGATGATGAATACGACACAGACGTGGCGATTTGTGAAGAATATATCGACACCGCCAAGCGCGCGATCCAGAAGGCAGTGCGAGGGATCGACAAGAGGCTTTCTGCGGCAACGGCCGACTTAACAATCAGTGAGACCTCCGCTGCGGCTGTTCCCACCCCATCGTTTGTTCATTCGGTTAAATTACCTCCCATCAAGTTAGAGCCGTTCTCAGGAGATGTGGAAAGCTGGTCACGCTTCTGGGAACAATTCAAATCATCCATTGATAAGGACCCATCCCTCTCAGCTATTAACAAACACGTATTTCTTCGAGGCTATCTTGAGGGAGAGCCGAAGCTGCTGGTAGAGGGCATCTCTGTTTCAGCATCAACATATGAGGGCACCAAGAAGATCCTTCGCGAACGGTATGGGGACCGGAACCGCATAATACAGGCCCACCTAGACTACCTACAAGACGTCACGCCGATTACGACCGCGTCCCCCGAAGCTCTCAATACTACGTTCATAGAGTGTAACAGACGTATCCAGGCCCTCCAGGCGATAGGGGAAGACGTTAACGCCTACGGTGGAGTACTGGCGCCAAAAATACTTCGCGCATTCCCTGACTATGTATGCAGGAGATGGATCGTTCACGGGAAGAGGGAACAGCTCTCTGATGGTGATATCATAAAATTAATGGAGTTTCTGAGCGTTGAAGTAGAGGGAGCCATAACTACCCAGAAAATTCGCGGCGAGAGTTCGAGCGTGTCTGACCCCACTCCAGCGGCGGCGACCTTCCATATCAGCTCGAACACCCAGAAGAATATTCGAAGAATTAAATAACCTACAGAGCCCTTCTGCGTCTTTTGCGAGAGCCGCCGCCACTGGGCCCAAGACTGCTATACTGTCACTGATACTCGCAGCCGCACAGAGAAGCCGAAGGCCGCAAACCGCTGCTTTGCCTCAATCGAGGCCACAATGCCCGCACTTGTAGCAAGAAAGGAAGAGCGTTGTGCACGAATTGCAAGAGGAGTACACAGATCCATATGCAACAGCACGGAACACAATACTGCCCGACCACCCATCTCAGTCGACAGTGTAGGAGTGGCCTCTTCTGATTTTACCTACCTGCAGAATGCACGTGTCTGGGTTAGGGGGCCTACAGGTATAAGCAAATTGACTAGATGCGTACTGGATGGCGGCAGCCAATCCAGCTTCATCACGAAATCAATAATAGAGGACCTGAAGTTAGAAACAATTGAAAGTCGACAGCTAGCAGTCAGCGCCTTCGAGATGCCATCTGTTCTTTCAAATCCACGTAGACTCGTCCGATTGGATCTAAAGGGTATCTGGACTAACTCTACAACATCCATCACTGCGTTTGAGAGTGCTAACGCCTTCTCAGCTCACCCGACTGTACCGCATGACGTCGACGTTTTGGGACNCCGATCTGGGATCACCGTCAACTCGGTAGTCGTAAACTACATTGAGTCGGACCACTACGTCCCTCATTCAGATGATGATTTTCGACGCCTATGGGATTTGGATGTCATCGGAATCTCGCCAGACCAAGACCGATCTTTAGGTGCAAAGGACACTGCCATCCTCCAGCGATTCCACAACTCCCACCGCATTGGAGACAGGCGAAGAGTAGTTTCTCTTATGTGAAAAGAGAATATAACCCTACCGACCAATCATCAGAATGCAGAAAAACGATTTCAGACACTGCAGAAGAGACTTGAAAGAGATGCAGGTCTGCAGGAAGTTTATTACTCGCAAATGCTAGATTATGTAAGAAAGGGTCATGTGGAAATCGCCGAGCCTATACAAAACTCTAAGGAGAGTTATTATCCGCCACACCATCTGGTGAAGAAGGAAAGGCGTGGGAATAGCAAGTGGAGGATCGTGTTTGATGGGTCCTCGCGTGAACAATACGTGCCCTCACTCAATGACGCTCTGGAGATGGGACCAAACCTTCTTCCAGAAACTTTATCCATTCTTCTGAGATTCAGACTATACCCGTCAGCGATTATTGGCGATGTCAGCCAGGCATTTTTACAGCTTATCCTAGATCATGATGACAGGGACTTAACGAGATTCCTTTGGTACCGAGTGGTTGGCGACGATGAACACGGTTACGAAACTACAAGCGACATAACAACTTACCGTTTCAAAAGGCTTCCTTTTGGCCTGACTTGCAGTCCTTTTCTGCTTGCCGCTACTCTGCGAGAGCTTGCTGATCGTTACAAGCAGACGTTTCCCCATGCTGCATCCCTTATGGTCAACAGCACATATGTCGACGACTTCGCCGCAGGGGCAGAAAACGAAGTTGAGGTAATCGCACTGTACTATGAGCTTACTTCCCTTATGAGACAAATTCCACTCCCTATGGCAAAATGGGCCTCAATTTCCACGCATTTGAAGACAGTTTGGACTGCTGAGGGACAGAGATTCGACGCAGAAACCCAAGTATTGGGCATCGATTGGAATACAGAAACCGATACATTCTCCATCGATCATGAGGTCATTACAAACAAGGTAGCAAAGGGACCCACCACAAAAAGGAACGTGCTGAAAGCCGCGGCCACACTTTATGATCCCCTTGGCCTAGCATCGCCTGTTTCCATCATTGGGAAAAGATTATTCCAGGATACATGGTGTCGAGGGATGGGCTGGGATGAACTCCTACCACAAGACTTTGGACTACAGTGGCACACGTGGGTAGCGACACTACCATCCTTATCAAGCATACATATTCCCCGTTGTGTGCACACTTCGGAAGATGGTGATTCTCACACCTATGTCTTTTGCGATGCCTCCGAACGGGCATATGGTGCGGCACTATACATCAGAACGGAGGGTAAGGACCGGGTCAGGGTCCAGCTGGTCTGCAGCAAAAACAGACTTGTGCCTGTAAAGAAGGTGACCTTACCACGACTGGAGCTCCTCGCAGCACTGATAAGTGCCAGGCTGCTACGCTGTTACTGTCGGGAGACGGGGTTCCACAGTCAAGCAGCAACTCTTTGGACTGACTCCATGGTGACCTTAGGCTGGATATGTGAAGACCCAAACCGCTGGAGAACCTTCGTATGCAACGGGGTTACAGAAATACAAACGTGCCCTACGCCTTCGCAATGGAGACACTGCCCTGGAGAAAGCAATCCAGCGGATCATCTTTCGAGGGGCATCACAGCAGATCGACTGAAGTCTTTGGATAAATGGCGGCATGGACCTTCATGGCTATCTCTCCCTCCGCGAGAATGGCCCAAGAACCTTCCCACTTCAAGCAGCCCGCTGCCAGACGAAAAACGCCCGTGGACCCAACCAGTTCTTCTTTTGGGAGTTCATTCTTCATTGATAGATGCTACCAGATTCAGTTCCTACTGGAAGTTGATACGCACGACCGCTTGGATCTTTCGTTTCAAACAGTCACTACTCCGTCGAGAGAGATTTCGAGGCGAACTGACTGCGGCGGAACTCGCGGCGGCTCGTGCCTACTGGATTCAGACTGTACAAGAGGAATGCTTCGCTGTCGAGCTTTATGCACTTCGGAACAACACACCACTACCGGAAGAATCCAAAATCGCTTGTTTCAACCCATTCTTAGACTCTGGACTCATTCGTCTCGGCGGACGGCTACACTTTGCACCGCTAACGAGAGAGCAGCGTCACCCACTCCTACTGGATGGGCAGCATCACTTCACGAAATTGCTAATACAGCAGACACACATTCGCCTACATCATCTCGGACTTCGCATGGTGTTGTCAGAGTTGAGAGATGAATTTTGGATCCTGAGAGCCCGACAGACGATAAAAAAGGCTCTACGCCACTGCCTGCCCTGTAAAATTGCGAAAAACACCCGAGGCCAAGAAAGTGAAGGACCACTGCCAGCCGATCGTCTCAAACCCACTAAGCCCTTCACCGTCACCGGTGTTGATTTCGCAGGTCCCCTCTATCTCAAGGTGGGGAGCCTGACACAGAAAGCTTACATCGTACTCTTCACCTGCGCAACAACCAGAGATCTGCATCTTGAGCTTGCCTCAGATATGAGTACCGACAAGTTTCTAATGGCCTTTAGACGGTTCTCCGGCAGAAGAGGAATCCCACACACCATATAGTCTGACAACGCGAGGACGTTCCACGCTGCTAGCAAGGAGTTAGCAGAGCTTAGTCAGGTTTTTGCCGACCAACGAAAAAGCCAGCACTTCGCCCACAACGGTATCTCGTGGAAATTCATCGCATCACGGGCGGCTTGGTGGGGAGGCTGGTGGGAACGAATGGTGGGAACAGTAAAACGTTGCCTAAGAAAGGTGTTGAGTAAAAGCCAAATCAATGAAGAAGCCCTTGGAACACTGTTAGTGGAAGTAGAAGCCGCCATAAACTCTAGACCAATCGTTCAAGACGACTCTGATGTGCTGACGCCAAGTCACTTTCTAAATGGTGAACGCTTGATGGCATTGCCCACCGGTCCGGAGCCCACCGCCCGAGACAACCTCAGAAAAGAAGCCAGACTTAGGGAGAAAATGCAGGAAGACTTCCTAAAGCGGTGGCAGAAGGACTATCTCCTTGAACTGCGAAGTTATCACCAGGTACGGCGCCCTAAAGAAAGATCTAAGGAATATCGTGTAGGAGATATCGTTTTACTTCAGGACGATCTACGACCACGGCACATGTGGCAAAAGGCTCGAATCCACGAAACGCGACCTGGCCGGGACGGAAAGGTGCGGACAGTTATCCTCCGGACCGCCAACGGTGCCAACGTCAGCAGACCTGTGCAGCTGGTCATCCCACTGGAGATCGACCAGGGTGGGGAGGATGTGGAGGACTGACGTCTCTTAACTACAACTGCACCACCATCGCATTGCTTCCTCTATGTAATACGTTCCTCGCCTAACTTTCAACCTCTATGTAGACAGAGAGAGAATAAATATGGCTACTGTGTGAATAGTACTGTTTTACTTCCTCCCACACACACAATCACCAAGTCCTTTTCTGAGAAGTCCTCAATATTATTCACACCTGAAGTTAAAACTGTTGCTAGGTCTGCACCAGGTTTCACTAGTCCTTGAACACTGTATTCCACATCTAGGTTATGTCGTAGTTTAGCCGCCATTTCCCTTACATGACTGTCACCAAGAAAAAAACTTGTTTCTTGGATTTTGAAGATTATCCATTTTCCTTCTAACCTTCCCACTTCTTTGTTGAAGAGGCACCTTTATAAATTCAGGCTCTTTGAGATTCGACGGCACTTCGAAGCGTTTTGCAGTTATGATAGATTGATTATCTCGTTTGATTTCCGTCCTTCTGGTTCTGGTTGTCCTTATGTGTTTTGCACTTTTCCATTTCTGAGTGTAATTATACTCTTAATCATGTCCTTTATCATGGACCATACACTGTATTTGGCTTTCATGCACGCAAAGGTCTGGGGAATCAATCTTACCTTGAAGAAAGCAGTCTTCTGGGATTTGGCACCGTGTATATGTGGTGTTAACCGACGTTTCGGAAGAACGTATCGCCTCCATCTTCAGGGTAGAAGGAAAAATATAAGAAATTGCAAAGCAAAGAGACCATGAGAACCGGTAAAAGCAGACTGTGTGGAAATATACACAGCTATGTGAGAGCAGAGAGGGTAGGGGGGAAGGGCAAGTATACAAGTGAAAGCAGTAGTGTCGGAAGAGTAGGGGAAGGGAGCTGGGACAAGTGTGTTTTTGTGTAGGGGAGAGAAAGGCAAGGTTAAAGGCTGGGCACTAATCCATAAGCTGAGGGGAGTGGGGGTGATGTTATGTTGGTTGGTCATGGCCTGTGTGGCCTTCTGGATCTGGCGTCATATCCCGGTGGGCGTTTTCTAAGAGAACAGATGAGAGGTTTCCAAGACTTGCTGAGACAAAACCCTCCCTCTCTGTTCATATTTCCTGGATGCAGTTCAATCTCAATTGCCTCCCTAATGATGCGATCCATATAGCGGGTCTTGGTGGCGAGGATGGAGGATGGGACACCGCATTCAGCTTCAGAATACCTCCATCCTCGCCACCAAGACCCACTATATGGATCGCATGGATCCTATATGGATGGATGCTGTTAAAATATAAAATATTGTAACTATTTTATATGATAAATGTAATTCAGTGTTATGAAGAGGTCAGGTAAATATAAAGTATCTACCATATTTCATACTGATTATGTCTAACAGTAATTCAGACCACTTTTGTATACCAGGTTTGAACTAGAAGTTGGAATGAAAGTAAATGAAAACACTATATTCCACTGATGATATCTGAAAACCTATGAACTACATATTTTAAAATCATGCTTTTATGTTGATCCGGAACAGTAAGACTTTATACAAATAACAGAATTCCTACTGCAGCCAAATATTTACATGGTCACTAACATAAACACAATAAAACTGCAATATACATAAATAACGTATTGGTAACAGTGAGCACTTTCTTTTCAGTCATCTGGAAGTGAAGAGTATTAACAGATTCACTTACTGTAAATACAAATACATATATAGTTGCTCTTTTTAGCCTCTACACACATTATATAAATAAATAAATAATAATTCATAGCATGCCATTACTATTTTGTGAATATGTATCTGAAGATTAAATAACTTTTGTGGGGAAATATTTGTCATATCAAGTTTCTTAATAGCCATATGAGAACAGGCACATCTTGGAAACTCATGCACTTTTAATGTTTTTGAACTGTTGGTCTGAAGGAAATATTTAATGACCTGTACAATTCTAAGTACTGTTTATGAAATCGACAGTTCATCTGCAACGACTCCATATAAACAGGAAATGTGAAAGGTTTCTATTGAAGCTAACCAGTCACTGGTGACCACATAGCCAAGGTAATAAAGAAACAAGAGGAGACTATCTTGAGTTTGAAAAGGGAGCTGGAACTTGCAAGAACTGAGATTGACCTCTTAAAAGGGGAATTAAATTTAGTAGATAATTGTCCTGAAGAATTTAGGACTGTGTCCAACTCCCGAAGAAAACTTAAAAAAGTTCCTTCTTCACTAGATGTTAAGTTAGCTTTAACCAATCGATTTGAACCTCTAGCTATGCTAGGGCCTCAGACTGATGGTGACGCTATAGATCAGCCTGTGTTAGAGGCTAAGCCTAAGCGTAAGATTCTAGTGCTGGGTAGCAGTCATGGTAGGGGTATCGGGCAGAGGCTACAGAAAGCAATGGGAGATGCATATGCTGTGACCAGCATATTCAAGCCCAATGCTGATCTGAGCAATGTCACTGGTGACATTCGAAAATTGTGCAAAGGTTTTAGTAAGGAAGACCAAGTAGTTATAATTGGGGGGCCAGGTAACAGTTGCGAGAGAAACCTCAATTATCAAATTGAGAAAGATTTAAGTGACATTGCCCAGAAAACTAGTCACACCAATGTGAGGTTTGTTGGTCTTTTCTGGCGACATGACAAGCCATGGATTAACAGGTGTGTAAGGGAGATTAAACTTCGGCTTGAGCGTTCGCTTGTGGAGGTCGGTGCGGCCCACATTGATGCGATTGATGTCTCTTCAATATTGAGGAGCGAACAAATTTTCCATGGTTTGCATCTTAACTGTACCCCTTACAGTATTAGTTAATTTCGCTATTCTAGTTTCGCAACTTCTTGGGATCCTCTCATTTGACTTCAGTAGCGTAATGTAACAAGACTCATGTACATGGCTAGACATTAACGGGTGTCTTTGTTTGCAAACATATGCGTTGGAGTCCTTGGCTTTACATTGCCTTAGCTCGTCCTCGGCTAACATTAAGTAATATTGTCTTGCTTGATCAAGGCACAACATGTATTTAGCTGTATAAATTTACAGAAACTTATTTAAGTGTAGCGCTAGTGGTATTGGAGTCATTTTAAGTACCTTAAAATTTCCTCTGTTCACCAGTGGTAACTCTACCACGTAATCCAATATACCATCACTCAAAAAGACATGTATATCACAAATCTTAAGCAGTAAGTTTATAGAGTCTTTGTTCAAGGGGAAGGGAGCCATAGTTTCCCTAGGAAAAGACGGGAAACTTCGCGTTAAGGCGTCCATCAGGAAGCTCGGGGGGGTGTACCGATTTCGGTTGCAGAATTCCCTTCCTCGCGTTGATAATGCTATCGATCACTACATCGAAGCTTCTGTGTAGAGTATTCAGTGCCTCATTCACGCGTGCCATGTGGCTTTCTACCGTAATCTTATCAGCCAAAGCATCAGTAACTCGGGTGATATTTGAAAACATTAATTCAACATACGCCTTAATTTGGGATAGTCCCCTCTTTACGACATCCTTATTGTACTCCATATCCGAGAGGGTTTCGTTTATGGCCCCTAGGGTGGATTTTACTACAGACAACTGTTGTTTCTGTAGGTTTGTCATAGTATCAGAATTCTCTTTAAAGTGTCGTATCTGCTCGTTGTAATATTTAGCGTCATCATTATCCATAGTTCCGAAAAGAATCTTACTAATTTCACCAACGAAATTAAGTACTCCCCTCCTTATGCCTTTCCCACTGTTTTTTTTTATCGATTACCTCGAGCAATAATTTTTCAGTCCCCTTGATTTGTCGAATTATACGTTCTGCTATGTCATGGAAATAATTACACTCCGTCTGGTTTTTACCACGAATTCGTGGCACAGTCTGCTTATGTGCTTAATATATTGTTCTATTCCTACCGACTGATTGACGTTTTGTTTAAGGTCCACATACACTATGGTTCCCCATTTCGTGTTTTAGAAGTTTGCCTGGCCTATGTTTTCATAATAGATACCTGACGATTCCTTGTACTTTTCCAAAGTATATCCTAAGTCGTCGATGTCTGACGAAACGCCCCTTGCTATAACCATCCATACCGTCCATACCGTCACACATAGTATATATATATATTTCCGCACGGTACTAATAAAACGGCTTCAACCTATTTACATGCACTTTTTGCACTCTCTTTCCCCTCTTAATTGTAACATTGACCTTGTCTATAGCTACAACTTCGTAAGGTCCTATCCACTGGGAGCTTAGTTTTTTCGATCTCCCCCGTCGCACTGTCTCGTCATACAGCAATACTCTGTCTCCTTCTTGGAGTTCTAATCTCTCAGTTTCCTTATCGTAA